ATCGAAAAATATAAAACAAAAATTCGGTTTGCCTTGTTGTGACTCATACGGCATACACTCCTCTTTGATTTCGGGCTGGTGTTCTTAGAGCACTACCCTATCATGAATTATCCGTTTCCTAAAAGGGGAGAATAACTGATCCATCTGAATATCCATCCCCCAATTTTGTTCGAAATCATAACCAGGAAGCACACGCCATTTAGTGTATTCCTTTGATTCCCCTAAAAATCGAACCCAAAAGTTTTAGGACTGAACCTTCCTTCACAAGGAAGCACAGAAACGTAGAACGCAATAAAACCGATGCACCAATAATGCTTCCATATTCTTGGCTCATACCCTCATACGTATAAGGGAAGTACGTACGAATGACAGCACCACACAGTTGTTTTCAGAGCAATGCAAAAAAATAAAAATGGCCTTGGTCGCCGGTCGGTACGGTATCGTGTTGCGCGACGGAATCGACCACCCTCGCCTTTTGCCATGTTGCCTTTAGAACATGATCTCTATCGCCCATTGCTCAAGGATACCCAACCGAAAAAGGGGAGCAAGGAAAATCCGAGCTGACGAGTCGTAAAACACGTCTTAGCCGTAAAGTGGCTGGTTTTAGTTAGTGCAGCGTACATTTTTATGCTCTGTACTATTTAACCTCCTCATGACTGGTGGAAGTGTTGCCGACCGTTGAAGCACTTAGTGCTGTTTGTTCACGCGGAGAGAAGTTATCCTGGCAGCCACGGTCTCAAGGCAATGCCACTTCTTCCTCACCGCACTCTAATTTTCGAGTATGAATAAAAAATGAGTGCAAGGACTCGGTTCTTCCAGGAGTTCTGTCTGACTCACACTGGCACCGCCGTCTGATTCTGTTTGGCCACGTCATGCGAAAGAAATTCTAGGCACTTTTTGTTTCGACGCAACTTGCTTTCAAGAAACGATTTCGCTGAAAAGTTTCATCCCCCTGCTTTCGAAATGAGAGATGTGACTGGAATACGAAATGATAAATTTGATTTATACGGGTGAAATTCGATAACGTACTTCGAGGCCTTTTGCCTTGAGGCTCTTGGTTTCAGCTGAGGAAATTGAATCGGAGGACTGGTAGAATATTTGAACTGGGAAATTAATATATTAGGCTCGCGGTTCTGAAGGGAAGGGTGACACTTTTTTAAGAAGGGAGAGTTAATAAATTTGCAAATTGAATGTTTAAAATCCCTTGAAGATTTTCTTAAATACCATCAAACTTGAATAATATATCAACAACAGTTTTCACGTCGGTCTTCCGTGGTGGAGACTTCCAACTTTGCTACAATAAAAGCATATCCATCGAAGACAACAGATCGAAAAGGCTTGCGATTTTGTATGAATGGATGACTCGACATTTGGTCTGTCTCTTGGCGTTTGTACGAGAAACCTTAAGAGTGACCAACAATCTCTGGACTTGACCCACAAGGCCACTGGATTTAACCCATAAGACCTTCGGAGTTGACCCATAAGACCATGAACTAAGTCTTTTAAGTAAGCCAATACATTTTACGCACTTGGTATACTCTGAAAAATGATTCATAGACCTATATTTTTATTTGAAAGGTAAAGGTTGAGAACAAGGCAAGAGATATTTTTAAAATCTTAGCCAATCTTTTAAATTCTGATTTTTTTTTACTTAGAGTGTAAAAAACGAGACTAAGAGAATATTTACGATGTAATTACTCAAAATAAAACTAGAGTTCTAGGACATTGAAGAAAATGATCGACGATTTAACATATGTGGACATTGCAAAGAATCGAAATTTTAAACTCATCAGGTACGCGAACTTGATGGAATTTTAGATGTGTGGATACATATTTATCTTAAACCAATCAGAAGATTAACTATATATATATATAACCAACCATCACTACTTGATCTTAATTTCTTTATTTAACGCCGGTCTCTGTTCCGCAATCGAGTGCCAATCACCGACGAAAAATTACTACTTGATGAAGTGTATGATTTTAGTTGCAATAAGGTTTTTATATTTATTATCACGAATAAAATATTTTACATGGATATTTCAGACTGTTCAGTTATTGGTAACAAAACAAATTCCAACTTTCGGTATTTAAAGTTTCAGAGAAGCTTAACGCAAAATTCAGCTCCGAAACAACTTTGGAAATAATTCCAATCTAATTAAGAGTGCATTTTAGTTCTGAGAAGAATTCTATGATGTTTGGATGAGGATTCTAGGCCCAATTCTAATAAGAATTCAAAATTAGTTCTGAAATTTCGCTTATGGGAGCTATGAAAATTCCATGAAAATCCCGTGAACTAGAAAGATGTTCTCTGCCGATAGTTCTAAAAGAATTCTGGGTGAATTCTGAACATACTTTCAAGAGAATTCTAAAGAGTTCTAAATTAATTCCGAGAAGAATTCCAATGGAATCGAATATTGAGGGTTCAATTTTAAAGGAATTATGAGAAGAGTATCAAAGTTTGTGATAAATTGTTTTGAGAATTCTGAGGAAATACTATGGGAATTCTAAGGAAAATACGAATTGAATTTCCAATCGAAGGCAGAGGAGATTTCCAAGGTTATTCTAAGCAGAAATTTCTGAGGTTAATTGCATGGATAGAATTTCTGCAGGTTAAATTGCATGGATAGAGTAGAATTCAAATAAATTTAAAATGAATATATGGAAGGAGCCTTCAGGGAGTTCCTAGAAGAATCAATAAAAATCGAACATAATCTACTTTAACTAATTATGTGTTATTACTTCATGCGTGGAGATTTTATATGATATATGATGATATATCATATGATAGATGATGAGATTAAATTATAGAGTTAATAGTTCCGCAGTGTTAGCAGTGTAAAAATTGTAAATACAAAGTAGAAAGCGAGCAAAGGACAATTTTGAGGAAGGTGTGAATCGGGTAGTTGTTTACGTCAGATGGCGACTTGAGTGTAAAACAATCGATAGAACTGTTTCCGCACATCGAAGGTACATGAGCAAATCGGTGATCATCCCTTTTGCCAGTTGTGGCAGGGGGAAACACCCCTCACCATCCATCATTAACGGATTAGCTTGGTAAAGGAGATGCCCTATCCGATTCGTACCTTCCTCAAAATTGTCCTAGGTTCGCTTTCTACTTTCTATATACAAATTTCACACTGCCGTACTATAACGGAACTATCAACTCTTTACTTTCATCTCCTCATCGATCGTATAAAATGTCCTCTTTAATTCTGATATTTGATGTTAAGAATTTCCAACTAGAAAATCATCTATTCCAAGAATTTTGTTGATTGTTCTGCAAAGAATTTCAAGAATGCAATATTATTTTTGTAAAAGCTTATTTGCCTCTAAGTTTAAGAGAAGGGGAATTATTCTAAAAATGTTCTTGAGATCATTCTGCAGAAATTCTGTGAAAAGTTCTTAGCGAATTATCAAAGTTACCTACATAGATATATCAAAATTTTAAAGATTTCGAACGCAAAATCAAATTCAAGCTCATAAAAAAAAATGAGAATTACTATTTGCTAGTCATCATGTATAACGTAAGCAAAAGTAAATTATTCAAAATGTTCTTCACAGGAGATTCCGTTGTGAGATTTGATTAAATTAGAGGAATTTATGAAATTTGATTTTAAGCTCAATGATTTCAATATCAAACCGTACTTGAAATTCTAAGTTACCATATAAATGGTTACTTATTTTGTATTTACAAGTCACTATTTCCATAATTTTAGTCACTAAAGTCACTACTATTATATCGCATCAGCACTACCAGCCCTGTTCTTCTCGTGTTTGTCGTATTAGAAGCTTGATAAAAGCTTCTTTCATCGATCGATCATCAAATAGCAGAGAATGTCTTAATATGGCCGTGAGGATGTAAAGAAAAAGTCGACGAAGAGAATCTGTTAATATTATTTAGGACCTAATGCATTACTCAGCTTGAATTGAATTGGAATTCTCCGTAAAGTTTAGAAAATAAATGCTTTCTAAGTAGCCCTTGTAATTATCCTCGGAATTTCCTTCCTATATCTAGAATCCATTCTAAAATCTGCCCAAATTGCTTTCGGAAAAACGTTCTTATAAAAGTTATTTAAAGTGACTATATCCTGAAAATCTAGTCCAGTTCGACTTGATTTTTTTTAAAAGAGGAGAAAGTACATTTTTTAATGTGTGCTTTGATAATGTATCGCCTTCTTTCTTCTGCGTACTTTTCCGTTCGTTAGTTTAATGAACACCCAACTAGGAACTAAGCGTACTGTAGCCCTGTAACAACTTTTATTTATTTTTTGAACAAATTTTCCATTGCAATTCAAGCAGGTATGGCGAAAAAAGGGACTTTAGTGACCACCTTTAAAAAAGCAACCCGCTATCAATCATACACAATTCAATGTAGATCACCTAGGGGAAATGACGGCTTCGGCATAACAGACTATTTTCGGCAACCCAAATTGAAACACTATTTTCACTGGATTTTCTTATGAAAACACTTCGCTGAATGCATGCAAACGATTCTTTATGCTTTCAGCTTCAATTTGACTATATTTTTACCACTGAGAAAAAGCAATCTAGCAGGGTGTTCTTGAAATGAAACACACGCACTACAAATTGTAGCTGATTTCGAGTTGCCGATAATAGAACAGCAGATTTACATGCAGTTCAAATGGAACGGTTGCCCAAGAAAAACTGTTTGCCGACAATACTCGCTCTCACTAGAGAAGATTGGAGCTTTGTAAAAGCGTTTCAAAACAGTTGTTGACAATTCTTTCGACTGAAATTGTTAGAGCAGCTGGCAGCAAAAGATTGTAATCAAACCAATACTGCATATGTGTGCGTTCCATAGAGAAAAAGGCTATAGAAAGAAGGTCGCTGCTTAGGTTGCCGAGAATACGTAAATTCCCCTATGTCAATAATTGAGTTACGAAAAATTTCATTGTAAAACTAGTTTTGAACAGACAGCTCATTTGAAAAGTTCACCCAACCATCGATTACAGATCAACAACAAAATTCATACTTACAGCGTTGTCCGGATGGAAAATATAACTAGCAGGTGAATTATCAACAATAACTATCTTTTGTAAATCTCTCCCTAGTTTGTTCAGATCCTTCACATAGTTGCCCATGTGATAGACGCACGATTCGCGAAATAACCGCGCCCGAAACACGTTCCACCTGCAAATGGGGAGGATGCAAAATAAAGTAAATTTCATGTACGTGATTAAACCATAACAAGGAACTTACTGATCCAACAGGTCCGCCACAGGGTCAGCATACTTGGCCAGCGACGCCGTAAACAGCACGCACTCGTACAGCTCGCCCATCTTCTTCAGGAACTCGTCGACGTGCGGTCGCTTCAGAACGTACACCTGGTGCACGGTTCCGTCTATTTCAACTGGCACTATGAAATCGGCGTTTGGAATTGGCTGCAATAAGAAGATCGTATTTGTCAGAAATCAGTGCAATTTTGGGTGGGGGAAAATATGAGCGGATCTGTCCGTCCCCTGGCGGCAGTTTCGGTGGAAGAGTGAGCTGAGGATAATCGGGTGCAAAAGGGCAACGCAAAAGTCGACCGACAATTGCGACAACAACGGCCAGGGACAACATCGTTGACGACGACGACGACGATGATGAAGGATAATTGCATTAGGCAATTATATTGTCATTGTACACACTGGCTACGGTCGTCTAGTCGTAAGTTATATCGACCATGTGGAGGAGAATGGTCCCCTGGTTTTCTATAATGTTAGGGGTGATATGGTGCGATGGATGGCGGAACTATGGCGACTGATGTTTGTTTGCTAATGATTGTGAAGAACCCATAACTCACGGACAGGAGGTATTATGGAATGACGTCTTATCTGGGTCGGAGAGCTAATAAGAAATTATGAACTTTTTGTGACAGCATGTTACGACTTTGTTGGTATTCATGTAATGTAGATTGCGTGTACAGAATCCTACGGAGTGAAGAATTTAAGTGAAGTCAAAAAGTAATTCCGCAAATTACTCATAATTCATTCTTGATATCAATCTCAATTGCTCCAATCAAAGCTTCAATCAATCAGCCACTTTCATCCTACACATCATTCGCCGCCACTTGGGAAGAAACACTCTGTCGATTCCGCGCAATGATACACACACCAACCTTCGAGAGTGGGATGAAATTACCGCTCCATCTTTCATATAGATTGAAAATTGCACTCCTTGCATGCATTCATGTGCATCACTGTTGAAGTGGTCGGCGGTTGTTTAGTTAGATGAAGAACACAGTGCTACTCTGCTCCTCCAATCGACAGTAGCCGTAATTATTATTGTTCCTCATCGCGTGCAACGGCACAGTCAAAGCAATGTGCACACGTACACCACTCGAGGAGAAAATTACAAGTACAGGTTGCGGAGCAGAACTTCAAACCATATCAATAAAAAGGTAAACAGTGCAGCTAAACACCTTCCTTCCACTTAACCTTAAGTGAGTCACACACGTTTCAAGTAGAAGGGATGCAAATGCGTTATTTTCCTTGCAATCGTTGAATAATTCTAAATACAGGAATTTGATCACCTTGGATGGTGGGTGTGGAATGCAATTCGATGTTGAAATTTGAGACCTGCCTAAAGGACAGTGGAGGAGCGAGAAAGGGGTGGTGGGAAAGAGGTCAAGTAGTGTTGACAAGAATTACCAGAACAGGTGTAACATTAATCTTGTAATCACGTCCGTCGGCCTGTTCGATTGTTACGAAGCGAGCAAAGCGTCGGAGGCGAACATAAATTCACAGCTGCGCGCTGGAGCAGGAGTTTTATTACTATGGTGCCGTTTGCTGCAGTAGTTATAAAATTGAATAAAAGGAAACCGAGATAGAGAGCGAGACAGAGAGGAAGGACACGGGCGGACGATTTTGTTAAACATCTAGCATTATGTTTGTATACAAGAATTCAGACATGGATTCACGTTTATCCTTTCAAACAGCAACGTATACAGTGGATGGTCTAATGCACCACAGGTAGAATTTTCTTTTTTGTGAATGAAACTCAAACTGAATCGATCAGAATATTTCTACGCTTCTGTCAAATTTAAGACTTTATAATTTTTCAAAATGTCGCTATTGAAAATTGAACGAATGTGCAACTGTTCCTATGATAATTAAAATTATCACATATCGCCTGCGAAAAGCGATTTCCCTAACACAGATTTCAAATTTGTATTCCAACCGGTCTCACCTAACGGTGTTTATTCAATCACTGCGTGATGAGTGATGGCGTTCTCCAGTGCACAACCAAAGGCTGCCTGCAAGCAGCGAGCTGCAGCCAATATGAGCATCCATAGAAGGAGGGAGAATCCGCACCGCTATTTATCATAATCAGTAGTTCTTCGTGAGTCCCTGTGGGCCATCTATGTCAAGCGCGTCATACTGAAGAGTATAAACAGGCAGAACCCCGCTCAAATTCCTATTTCTACACAAAAAACAAGCTCCTGATGCAGTTTACCAATAAGATTTATTATATAAGACCACGTAGTCCTACGTCACCATTGCGTACAGCCCCATAGGCCTGTCCCTTGTAGTTTTTTAATACAGCGCTATTTTTTCAAGCAGCTTTGAAGTAACTTTTTAGTTTTTATTTTTTATTGAGAAACAATGTAGAGAATTGATATTATATGTATCGACATTTAATCGATAGCATAATAAGACGACTTTAGGCTCTACCAATTGGCCAAGAGTTCAGGGATTTTCAATTTAACTCAAAGAACTTCGTAACACTTTAAGGATTTTTAAGAAGTTCAGGGATCATCGGTGAAATTGACGAAACTTAGAAGAAACTTTGGTAACTTCATAGAGCTTCAGAAAAATTCGTACAAACTCAGGGAGCTTTGGAAAAGTTCAGAAAACTGCGTAGAAGTGGCAACTCTATTTAAGTGTTGGGATCTTCGTCGAAGTTAAACATTATTAAATTTCAGAGTACCTCATTATTGTTCATATGATTTCAGGATACTTTTTTGAAGCCGCATGAGCTTGGAATTACGTACAAGTTCAAGAAATTCTATGCGTGGAACTTCGCGGAAAATCAAGGAGAAACGTAGAAATGCAGCAAATTTTGTAGAAGCTTTGGAAATTTCGTAGTATTTTGAGCAGCTGCATAAAACTTCATATAAGTGCAAGAAATTTTGTAGAAGACCTAAAAATATATCAACAAACTTTTAAGATCTTCATGGATCCCCGCATCAGTTTAGGGAACTTCGTTACAGTTTTGACGTAGGACTACATCTGTGATTTCTATATGGGGGTACACTTTGTGAAAACCGAAAATAGAACATGTAACAACATTATGAAAGATTTTGAATGTTAATAACTCAGTTGCCCGTGGACCAATTTCAATAATTTTATCACCAATCGATCAGAAATATTCCTACTGTAAGACTTTGTCATTTTACAAAAGGCCACTTTTGAAAATTTTACGAATGTGCAACTGTTGCTATGTTAATTAAAATTATCACCGATTGTCTGCGAAAAGCGATTTCCCTAACACAGATTTCAAAGTTGCATTCCATCCAGTCTCACCAAACGGTGTTTATGCAATCACCGCATGGTGAGTGGTGGTGTTCTCCGGTTGGCAACGAAAGGCTTCACGTAAGTTGGATTAGGGCGTAAAAGCTTTTTAAAACAATGACTTTTTTCGGTGATATCTTGAAAGTCAAGGCTCGCCCATGCAAATCAACATCACCATCAGGTAGGGTAAGACTTCTCCTACCCGACGGTAATGTTGATTTGCGTGAGCGTGCCTTGAATTCCTAAAAATCATCGAGAGAAGCCATTATTTACAAAAGGATGTTACGCCTTATTCCAGCTCTACCTAGATATGTTTAAATCTAACATACCATGTACTTAAAACAACACTGAGGGTGCAATTTCAAAAACCAAAGTCGGTCGTGGCATGAAAACGGTAGGGTTTTGATCCAGAGATGATGGATTTTAATTCTTAAAACGCCAATCGATAGGATTTGCGTTTCAACGAATCTGTTAAAATTAAGACCCTTTCATTTTTCAAAATTGAAAATTGCGCGAATGGGCAACTGTTGCTATGTTAGTAAAAATTATCACCGATTGCCTGCGAAAAGCGATTTCTCTAACACAGATTTCAAATTTATTCAATCACCACGTGGTGAGTGGTGGTGTTCTCCAAGGCTGCCATAGAAGGAGGAAGAAGTCGCACCGCTATTGATCGGAATCAGTAGCTCTTTGTGAGTCATTGTGGGCCATCTATGTCAAGCGCGTTATACTAAAGAGTATTAACAGAGAGAAGCCCTCTCAAATTCCTATTCCTACACAAAACACAAGCTCCTACAGCAGTTAACCAATAAGATTTATTCTATAAAACCACGTATTTAGTCCTACGTCACCATTGCGTAGAACCCCATAGGGCTGTCTCTTGTAGTTTTTCAGAGATCTTACTGCTAAAAAGCTCAATGAACTTCTTGAAAGTTTTGGGAACTTTGTAAAATTTCAAGGAACTTTCCAGATGTTCAAGAATATTTGTAGATGATGGGTTTTCAGAAGTAACCGTAGAACTTCATTTCAAATAAAAGAACTAAAATAACTCAAAAAGCTTTTGTAGAAATACATTCAATTAGTATCTAATTTCAAACGGGGGCACCAATCATACAAGTTTAGAGTTCAATCCTTTCGATTAGAATTAAAGTTAAATTTGAGACTTTAATCTTGATTTTATCTCTCGTGATCTTAGAAGTTAGTTAGCCCGAGGCATCGAAAAGAAAATCTAGATAAATGCTAAATAATTTACTTTTTTCATCAAACATTATTAACTGAACATTCAAAATCCAGTAGGTATTTTAAAAATCTAACGAAAATTAAATTATAATCAATTTTGATGATTATAATTAAATTTTGAAAAAAAAAAACGATTTGTTGGACTACCCTAACATGGCAATGGTCTCCCTAATGACAAAATAAAAAAAATACGGGTCTAATATTTTGCGGTAAGGAACAGTACTAAAAAATTAACGAAATTCTGCGAACCACTATATCTGTTTGCTATGGAATGGCTGAACAATGTTTTTAGTAATTTGAATTACATGTTTTTTAACAGAAAATTATTTAAAACGTCTCAAACGTCTGAGTATAAATTGCATAACAGACCGATTAAACAAAAGATTTAAAAAATATATCAAAAGTTCATGTTTAATTTTAAGGTATCCATAATTTTAAACGATCAAAAAGTTTTTATTCATCATGAGCTGTTTTTTTAAAGAAAAATTTCAAACATAGTAGTTTTTTCTTCAAATATTCGAGTTTTTTTTTACATTTTTTTTAAGTCTGGGACCTCCCTTAGCTCAGTCGGTAAAGGCGCAGCTACAAAGCAAGACCATGCTGGAGGTGGCTGGGTTCGATTCCCGGTACGGTCTAGGAATTTTTCG